GTGTTTTTTTATTTCTTGTTCAATGTTTAGGAATATCTCGATTTGACTATTGTTATAGCTCCGTTTTTTTATCTTTGTAGAGTCTCTGATGATGGCCTAATCGGCTGAAAGCGCTAAGACTACTTTTACTGAGTTTTATTAATAATAATAAAACTACCTACACACTTTAAATACGTCACATTCATTTCTTATTACCCAGTGTGTACACACCACTCAACCTCTTCAAGAATTTATCGATATGGATAGATTGGTGCCTACTTATAGAAGATTAGCGGTGAAAAGATCAAACATTCATTTAGATATTTGGTTCCTACATCAATGTCAAAAGCAACGAGTCACTCCTCCATTTGCTAAAGCGAAACTACCCAAGAATGTTTCTAAGAAGTTCTCCTACAATATTGAAAAGAAGATAATTCACGCGGAAATCTGTAAACACTATTCTAAAATCAACGCTATTAACATTGATCTCAAAATTCTCTATGATCAACTGGTTCAGGTAACTTCTTATCAACTGTTGCAAGTTAATCTTAATGACATTCATGATGATGTCTGTTTTTCTAAACACATCAAATTCAATAAACTAAAGCTCAAACTCAACAACTTAATACATAAAAAAAATAATCAATCTTCTAACTTTCAGCATAAATTCTCCTCTTTTAATTTTCACGACAGAGTTAAAAACTTGTCTAACATTACTTTTAATGATAACGAAATTGATTTTCTCTCATTAGGCTTAAAATTTGCAGTTAAACCTAAGATTCACAAAAAAGATATTGAAGAACTGTCTATTGATGCGGATTTTATTATTAACCACTTTTCTAATGATACTGATCTTACGAATCTTTTGAAATCACATTGTATCTCCATTTTTAATAAATACTTATCCCTTAAAACTACCGAACCTCATAAAAACACACTAATCAAACAACATATTATGTTATTAAAATCCATTAAAGATAAATTACTCCACAATAATCTCATTATCTCTAAGGCTGATAAAGGAAATTGCTTGGTTATCATGAACAAAGATAACTACATTTCTAAAGTTGAAGAATTCCTCAACAACAATGATTTTATCATCTTGAACTCCAACCCTCTTCAAAAATTTATTAACTTATTTAAATCCACTCTCACTAAATATAAAGATTTTTTCACAGAAAGGAACATTCTATTTTTCAACAATTTTATTCTAAAAAACCCTTATTTGCCTCGCTTGTATGGCCTTCCTAAAATACATAAACTAGAGATTCCTATGAGACCTGTAGTCACTTTCTTTAACTCGCCTGTTTCCTCCTTTGCAAAGTTTTTTAATAACTTCCTTAATTCCTCTCCTAATTACAAACCTAAATATACAGTTTTAAATTCAATTGACCTAGTTAACAAAATTAAAAACATAAATTTAAGTCCTGAAGCTAAGTTAGTTTCTTTTGATTTATTCACTAATGTCCCTAGAGAGGAAACCTTTCCTATCATTAAGGACCTTCTTACAAAAAATAACTTTAACCTTCATTCGATCAATATTATCTTGGATTTACTAAAAGTTTGTCTTGACCAAGATTTTTTTATTTTTAATAAAACTTTCTACAGACAACCTAACGGCCTAGCAATGGGCAATCCTCTTAGTCCTTTGTTAGCAGACTTATTTTTAGATCACCTAGAAACCAATAAAATTCTGATTAATTCCCCTAACAACCGAATCTTACACTGGCACAGATATGTTGATGACATTTTTGCTATCATGAATTGTAACGTCTCTGAGATTGATGACTTCTTAATTTTCATCAACAATATCCATCCTAAAATTAAATTCACAGTCGAGCTTGAAGTCAACAAATCACTTAATTTCCTAGACCTTTCTATTAGTCGTATGGATAATAAGCTCGAATTTGATATCTACAGGAAACCCACTCAAACTGATCATCTAATTAATTTTCACTCTAATCACTCTTATCAACACAAGTTATCAGCCATATACTGTTATGTTCACCGTCTCCTCAATATACCTTTATCTAATCATAATTTTAATAAAGAAATCAACGTTTTAAAACAACTAGCCTTTAATAACAACTACTATCCTTCTATTATTGACATGGTTATTAATAAGGTCAAACTTAAGAAAAGGTCTCTGCTAGCTTTTAATCCTACTAATGATTCTCCTGCTAATTTTAAATACTTCTCACTACCTTATCTCGGGAAAATTTCCAATGATATCGCTGCAGTTTTTAAAGATTGCAACAATATTAAAATATCTTTTAAAAATGTTAATTCAATTAGAAGCCAACTATCACACACTAAGGATGAAATCGAGTTGCTACTCAAAAGTGGTATCTATAGATTAAACTGTAACGATTGTAATACTACTTATATAGGGAAAACCGAGAGAAGACTCAATTTAAGAGCCAGTGAACACATTAGATATCCTGATAAGTCCACTTTTGGACATCATATTAAATTCAATAATCACAATTTCACTCCTTCTGAGAATGTCACTGTCCTTCATAATATTTTCAATTGTAACTTTAAATTAAATCTGCTCGAAGATCTTGAGATACACCGAGAGTTTAATAAAACTAATGTCACCTGTGTTAACACGCAAATCCATCTCAATAGAAAAGTGCCTCCTCTTATTAAGAGTATTGGCAACGGTTGGTCTGAAGTTACCTAGCTAGCTTCTCCTTGAATCTTCTTACAGCAAAGTTGATCTTGTCTTCTCCGGTGATATCTGATTTCGTGGTCAGGACGGTTTTTCCTCCCCTTTTAGTTGGAAAAGTTGGTCTGCCTGCGACTTCGGTTTCCCTGGGGTCGGCAGGCTCAATTCTGTTGTGCTAGTCAGGCACCTTCTTAATTTCAATAATTTTATATCAAAATATTTTTTACCTTCACTCAATGTATATTTTATAATTCTACTTATTTATTGTAACGTTTGGTTAATTTTTAAAAATAATTTAAAATTTAAAATTCCCTCTATAACTTGTGCTTGCTACTTCAGTGGTTCCAACCCACTTTTATCTTTTTAAATATTAACTTTGATCAATTTTCATGAAATTTATTTGTTTTTCTCAAGTTGGCAATTGTTTTGACAACTTCATTGTCAACTGTCAATTGTCACTCAGTTCTTTTTGGCACTGTTAAAGTCAAGATGGTTACCTTTTCGTCATTATTGCATTCTACTTCTTACGATTACCTGTGCCCCAACTTGCCTCCGCCTCACGGTAGCTATTTTGAAAGGGCAGCTGGCTTCAAGCCGAAGTTCAGTTTTTTCCATCTCTCTTCCTTGGAAAGGTTGAGACAGTTTATTTACACGTGTTGGGATGAGCCCCCACGTTTCTTTTCAATTTTCAACCACCTGTTAGGATTGGTTTTGCTTCGTTTCAAGCCTCAAGTTATGGTTGAGAACCAGGGACCGTATTGTGGCAGCCCTTTGAATCTAATAAATAAATTTTAAATAATTAATTTTCATGTTCCTTCTATATTTACTGACAAGTAAGTTGTTGTGTTTTTTTATTTCTTGTTCAATGTTTAGGAATATCTCGATTTGACTATTGTTATAGCTCCGTTTTTTTATCTTTGTAGAGTCTCTGATGATGGCCTAATCGGCTGAAAGCGCTAAGACTACTTTTACTGAGTTTTATTAATAATAATAAAACTACCTACACACTTTAAATACGTCACATTCATTTCGAATTTATTTAGGTTTAATGTGATTTAAAAAAAAAAATAATAGGACCATCAATTCGACCATGGCACTCGAACAAACGTGGGAGCCGAGCGTAGCGTTCAACGACAAGACACGATACTCTTCAGAACGCTCTGAAGGGTTAACTTAAGATGCTAGGGTAGGATTCTACAGAATTTTTTGTGGAGAATATTTTATAAATAAAGATTGGACACAACCTTTTTATTTCAGACCAGTCGTTGAGCAGTGTTCTCAAAAATATTCGTTTTATTTACGCCCCTATCTGTATCTGTACGGTGTGGAGGGTGGGTTACTCCACGGCATTTAGGCCTCATTAGATGATAGGCACCTCCTAGCTCCTACAGATTTAATGTAGTTGACAACGTTGGCAAGAGGTGCTTCTCTTATATTAGCCGATGTTAGCCGATACTTGCCGAACACAAATCTTCTAATCAATGAGAGCGTCGAGCAATCGTAAAGGATATGCTCGATAGTCTATCTTCTTGTTCGTACCCTCTATAGAGTGCGGATTCTGACAGCCTTATGATATAAAGATGCTTTCGTGCTTAGCAATGACTAGTCGGAATGCCTGTGACTAGGCACAGATTCTGTCTAGTCATAGTCAAGTATTTATTTGCTGCAGTTTGTCAGGATAACTTAAGAGATCCCTGGCAAATCTTCAGTTTCTTGATTCATTTCATCTTTCCTTGAATTTCACAAGGGAATACTCTTTGATTAGGTATGTCACTACCGATTTTGTCAGGTCAATAGAAGGGCCAGGTCCAAAAAGTATTTGGTTGGCTGCTTTCTTGGCTAGTGACCTTTGATCCATCTTAAGGTGACCATATTGTTGATGGATACTTTGGCCAAAGCTTCATGACATTCTAGTACTAACCAGGAATAAATTCGTGGTCTGTTCAGGGTGAGTAATGCTTGTCTTGCTATCTGTGTAGATGAGCATTTTCTTTCCTTTCAAGCCTTTCAAGCCAGATAGCCCTGGGACAAATAAAAGGAGATCATCAAGACATCGAATCCGAACAACATACAAATTTGTAACTTTATTCTAATTTTTCACAAATACGTATTTTCTGGCCTAACTTTGACATTTCAAAAATTATCGATAACAATCATAGCATTTTTATTACCCTTGAAATTGCCGGCGTAGTAACAGCCTACTTGTCTATCGCAATTTTAAATATAGCGATGGGATGTCATCTTTAAGTTGAGTCATGAAACTCTATGACTCGATGACTACATGTCTTCGGCAAGCATTATTATAAAGAAGAAAAATATCAACCCTCTAATATCATGTTTTTGTTTTCAGAAAATAATTTTTCCTGTATGGTTTTTAAGTCTAGGCGTAATGTTGACGTGTGTGTTTGGTGGGCACAATACTTTAAGACGTCCAGAGTATTTTAGACTCCAAAATGCTTTTTACTTAGCTATGGTTAGGCCTTCTTTTGCTCTATCAGTCGCTTGGGTAATATGGGCGTGTTCCACAAACCATGGAGGTAAGTTAAACTGGTTTAAAAAATTTGATGGAAATACAAAAATAATCAATACAATACATGGCAGAATTTAAATGCAATTTTGGAAACCTACCGATTTGGACCAAATTTTTATATTATTAATTATATATGGTTAGACTTTTTCTTCCATTTTGCTCCAATTTCCATAAAATCGGACTTACAGTGCATCAAGGACTATCTTATTGATAATACAATATAATGCCCATATAAAATAATGTAAGGGAGAGTCTGGGACAGTGGCCATAGAGGAACAGTGGCCACCTTATCGCTATTTTGTTATTTATAAAGAACATATTAGGTCACCTAGTGGAGAATCTACCAATATGACAGTGTATTTTAATAAAATTTTCTGTTTGAATGTAAACGTATTTATTTTAAAATAAACTATACCTTAAATTAAGTTTAAAAAGTAAGAAACAACCAGTAAGTGAAATTTGTTATGGTGACTAAATATACAAATCATTAACTGCAAAAATGCTACGTAGAAAGATCTCAAACTCAATGTATAACCATGGGCAATGCAGTTCGTGATGTAGTAATGGGTGGATTAACAGTTAACGCCACGGCTACCAAATATGACATTCCACGTACTTCACTGAGGCGGTATGTTAAAAGAGACCTGAAACGTGAAAATTTAAAATAATGCCGGACGTCCCATTTGTTTTTCTGATATCTATTTCATCATAAGTGTTGCCTTCAAAATTTGTTTTTCAGAAAAAACTCAAAATGGTTTTGTTAAAAAGAAGTATTTAACGTGTTTTTAAACAGCTAACTTTTGAATTCTCAACATCCATTTTTCTATTTATTATCTTAATACACAATTTACCTGACCAAAGCTTGGGCTGTTCTTCTCCTATCCAATATCTTTTTTCGTCAGAAGAATTCTTTGAGATATGCTTTATTATTATCATTCATAGTGTATCCCAAAAAATATTTGTTTTTCTATGTTTAATACTTCACAATTACTCTCACAGATAACCAAATAATGAAATGTAACCAACTATTTTCTCTATTATGCAAAAAACAACCATGCCGCCAGATTGCTTCTACGTGCAGGTTTCTTAATTAACCAATTTAGTCGGTTGGTTCATATGGCCAAGAAAAAACGTCTAAAAACCACAACTTCGTAAGTTGCTTCCTTTTTGTAGACAGACGACCAATTAGACATCAAGAAGGACAAACGATCTTCACATATGCAATTAAGATATGCTCTAATAACATTGACTGCTACTAAGCCGATCCTTTCTTCTTATAGAAATACATTGGTTATGCCTGGCCATATTGCATTGTCAGTATCCCGAAATATAATACCCCATTATTTTGAATAGTTGTATGGTATGTCATCTCCTCTTCCTACTATCTTCATGGCTCCCACATAAGTGCGCTGCTAGGGCTTTTCCAGATTGCAATATCATCATCAAATGTTTTGATAGTATTGTGCTCTAGAATAGGAATACCTTCAGTATATATCAAGTAAAGTACCTGATCTAGTACGTAGTATACTAAATTTATAGATGTTTTAAAATAAAAATATCGCGAGACCATTATTTATTACATTGAATTATTGTAATGTTATATTAGTTATATCGAAAAATATGTTGGTCATATACATAATATATAAAAATCTGATGTGTCCAACACATGACTTTCCTATCTAGTTATTAAAGGCTTTATCTGGTTAAACTAAATATAATATACATTTTCCACATACATCTACCTCGAAACATTTTTCTATAGATATTCATTGAAAACGAAAATACTGAAAAATTTAAATGTAGCACTTTTCCTACAATTTTTCCATTACGGTCCATTTTAGAAAAATCATGTATAAACAAAAATTATAGAGATCGATATCGCAAACAACTTTTAGTACAACAATTTTCATAAAAATCAGAATTTTGCACATTTTGTCAAATTTCTCGAATACGGACTATTTCAGGAAATTTTGACATAAGGCAAAAATTATAGATAATATTATTAGAAATAACTTTTATTTGAACAATTTTTTTCTCCAAACATAAATAAAAGATATATTCCATAAAATATAAAAACGGTCCCCTATAAAGTACCCCCCCAGATGTTCCGACTTTGTCCAAAATCTAATCATTTCACGTCAGGCCGAAATAAAACTTAAGTATAAAATTTAATGTTTTTTTCTTTATCCGTTTTTGAGTTTTCTTCAAATTTCAAAATTTACACATTTTCTCAAATGTCTCAAATACGGTCCATTTTAGAGAAATTATGTATAGGATAAAAATTATAGAGAATTATATTGCAAACAATTTTTGTTTGAACAATTTTTATAAAAAAATATTTTTTAACATTTTGTCAAATTTCTCGAATACGGACCATTTAAGGAAAATTTTGTGTGGAATAAAAATTTTAGATAATAATATAAAAAGTAACTTTTATTTGAAGAATTTTCTTCCTTAAACGTAAATAACAGATATATTCCATAAAATATAAAAATGACCACCCATAAAGTACCCCCCCAGATATTCCGACTCTGCCCAAAATCTAATCAGCTCATAAGACGCTGGAACAAAGCTTAAGTTTAAAATTTGGTGTTTTTCTGTGTATCGGTTCATGAGTTATGCGACACACAGACACACACACACACACAGACATCATCGCGAAAATAGTCAAAACGTAAAAATCCATCAAAAAAAAAACTCGAGGTCGAAAAAAATCATGATTCCTATACTTTCCTTATATCTGTATACAGATAGGATAGTAAAAATTTAGTACAAAATCTATAGGTTCCCAAAATCCGTTTAAATTGTGCTATGTCCTTTAAAGGTTTTAAAATATGTTTTTAGGTGTAATAAATAAATTGCTTTCATTACCAATTTTCCAATTTTTAAACAAATTTATCTATAGTATGTATTTACTACATGTGACTATATTATATATGATTGTTTTTGCCAGCAAGGGACCCATGTATTTCTCAGTTTTCTATCTGGTGAGTATATTTTCTTTTATTAATTTAATCATAGGTTTTCAAGTCCTTATGCTGACAGAAATTCATAACATTCTGTTATTGTCATGTGTCAATTTTCATTGTCATCTGTCCTGCTTAACAATGTAACAACTTGTGTAATTTCTGATATTTTCGTATAGGTTAAATAGGTTATATGAGTTTTCCATGGATTCAAGAAGAAACAAACTAATCAACACTTAGCCATCAAACATAAATTATTGTTTTTACAGACTGTATTGGCTATTGAAAACCTTCGAATACGGTTTGCTAGTGACGAAGATAAAACTACAGCTATCATTAGCGAAAGTAGGAATAGGAAACTAACATAACAACGTAGGGATAACTTCATAGATAAACTAATATGTAATATAAACCGTTTAAATGCACGGCACTGGTAATAAGTAGTTAGCATACTATTTGGAGCCACCATCGCACACTACACACAATTGGCTGATTCGCTTGACAGTTAAAGGCAGCTAAAGAAGAAAATAAAAAGAAGATTGTAAAGCGGACCCGCGGTTCATTCAAATATCCTTTATTATTTATTTACATTTTTTGGCATTCATTACTGTAAAAAAAACTAATATTAAAATTAAAATATTAAATCTAACATAAATATTAGTTTCTTACAGTAGTAAAACTACAAAAATTATTTAATAATTTAATACAAGTAAGATGCATTTAAACGGTTATTACATAGGTACATGTACTCAATATTAAATATCAATAATTGTAAGTGAAACTAATAGTAGCCTCCTCTTATTCTTGGAAAAATGGACCAAATTTCGATGTAGTTGTTAGGTGTTTCTATAAAAACAAAAAAAGTGTTATTTAACATTTTCTCATAGCTATTAAAATGATGGTCATTCTTATAAGTACAAGTTATTTTTAATTTGTCTAAAATTCATTTATTTTTGGAAACTTTCTCTTTCTTTGATGGCTACAAACTCTAATATTGACATTGCTATTAATATAATAAAGCTTTTTATCTTTAGGAGTTACATTTTTGACTATACTTTCATATATTGGTTGCAAAACAGTTTTTCTTCGTTTTGAGAGTTGTTCAAATTGTTTATCACTAGTATTAAGTTAACGTTTGAAACTCATTTCTTGTTTTTCGTTGAGAATATGTAAATACATCTATCTTATGCTGCTGTGTATGTTTTTCATCCTCAACATTTACTAAAATCTGACTCTCGGGTTGAGTATAGTAGGGTATAGTTAAACTGAATATACTATTATTTAATAAAATTGGTACAGAATTTGGAATTAATCGTTTACGTTTTAAGGCAATTTTGCTAGAAGACTCTGGCAAAAAATGATCTTTACAAAGATAGCAAGTTTTATTATCTAAAGTTAAATTTAAATTAAGAAACCAGTTCTCACGAGTTTTAACATCGGAAGAAAAATTAAAAAGAGTTTATTTTAACACCCAGCTTGAATATTAAAACATTTATTTAAACAATTAGGAGCTAAACAAGAATATTTAGCTTTACCATTTGACGCTTTACCCGGGCCAGACACGTTTTGTTATTGTTACAAATATATTCTAAAAGAATTGAAAATAAATTCAAAATAAAATTGTATTTCGTTAAAGCTAAGAAAACAATGATAAACAATGTTTTTAAACGAATCTAACAGCTAATATTAAATTAATTTGTTAATACTTACTAATTACATCAAACCAGCACTTATAAATCTCCTTAACCTAAACATAACCCTATGAAACTTACCTCATAATCATAAAATAACCACAATATAGGGACCGTGCGTCATGACTTTAACGCTAACTGGTGACAAAAATGTGAACTTTATGGGGGGTATTTATTAATGTTTTATACGGTATTTATTGTTTAATAATTAATAATTAAATAAAGTCGAATTATTTTCGTAATATCATTATCGAAAAAACTTGTTGCATTTGTGAATGTACAAACACATCACTTTGGAAACCTGGATTTCATCGATAGTAAAGAAATTTTATAAATTTTCACGGAACACAAAGCACAACAATTAATGTCTCATACCCAATGATATACATAAGTATAAAGATTGCTTATCCAAATCTAAATCAAACGACGAAAAGCGTATTTCACTGGGCAAAGTTTTCTTTTTATCTAGCTTGTATCAATTTTGAGCACTTAGTTGTAAAGAAATCATTTACAGAACCGGTTTAGAAATTATAATCTTTAGTGCTTTCTTGTCATTAAGATTTTTACATATTTAAATGAACATTTTATATAAATATAATTTTACAGATAATTAATGGTTTATTCTGTGGATTAAAACTAATGTAGACTGATATTATGAAATAAGAATGTCCAATTTGACAAATTTATCATGGCCCTCTTTACAATTTATTAACTATTTCTCATTTATTATTAAAATAAACAAATTATAAATAATACATTGCAATTACTGTCAAAAGAGATTGCAACAAACTTTAAAATATTAAAAATCCAGTGATTTTTTGTAATTTTTTTTAGTGACATTGCCATTAAACATTCAGAATAATAGATAAGTGTCCAATTACAACTCTTACCAAAGTTGTTTATACCTCATATCAAAGTTGTTTACATTACCTTTTTAAAATTGTATTACATATTGCAATTATGTATTTTCTGTAGTATTATTTCTGAAATGAGAGTAGTCTAAAATTATTTATATCTATCTGTTATAAAAATTGTTTAGATCTCTTAATATTATTTAACTACATGGAAACTCAACTTTCCAAATACATAATAACATGTCTTGAAGTAAAACCTATTATTATTATTTTCTTTTTCTAAAGATTAAAATGCTGAAATTTTATTTTAAAACACATTTGGGCTAGAACGGCTCTATTTAGTGAGCACTAGGAAAGTCACATTGCAACCCACTTTTCATATTTTTTTATAGATGGTTGAGCAATCTATAATATGTATCATTGAACATCTTATAAACGTCAGTGGATGAATGACATTTCGACTAACATAAAGCTAAAAAGATTTATTATTATTATTATTATCAATCTTTTTTATTAATTTACATATTTTAAATGTTATTGTAATACTTTTAAATTCAGTGTTACTAAATACCGATATTTTTACATTGGATACACTTGTTTAAGGTACAACTTTACAATTTATTGTCACTTAGCCATTTAAATATTTTTTCTTAAAATGTATATACATGTCCAGATTTTAATGTTTCACATTTTACGTCATTTTGACCATGTACACGATTGTTTGGTATGGGCCGGTATCTATTTTTAACTATAATTAATATTTTAAAAAATATCCTTTATTATTTGCTTGCAATGTTTACCCCATTTAATTCTAAAATTAAACACTAGAGAGGGCTAACTTCGGCAGTAGTGCTGCCTCTATATTTCACGCACGGTCCCTATATCACCCATTTAACATTTCGCCTTCCGCCATTCCGATTTTCATGTTTACGAGGTTGTCAACATAGTTGCCAAACCTCTCTTTAACAAATCCCAGCACTAGTATGCAATAGTATGTCACTTAGAATATAAATATTCAGGAAGGAGGAATTCTAAACGACCTTGGAATCGCGATGGTATCTAATTTTGATAGTGAACTAGACGAATATTGCGACAAGTGTTTCCGGTCTACCAGTGACCTACTGACATAATGGGACGAAGAAAAGAAAATAATAAATTTTTATTTGCATATTATCTAAATTTACCGATTTCTCTTATTTTAACGAATTGCTATTTTCTTGCAATTTTTTTTATTTACCTTCATTAGCTGAATAAATTTTACTTTAAAATTGCATGTTGGGTTGGATAAATATAGGAAAATATTTTTGGGATAATTTATAGAGGGATTTCATTTGAAAAATCAAAGAAATAATTTATTAAAAAAATATATATTGACTTTTTTACATCTTTATTATGACAATGTCTTTATTAATCTACATTTTACAAATTATTAGGGTTTGAAAAATAAATTTGTTTTGTAGATATGCGTTAAAAAATTATATATAGTTATATAGTTATATTTAGGTTAAACACCGCTGTCATATTTCTTTCTTAGATATTTTTGTTGGAGTACATATAAAACTTCCTAATATCGAAGAGAATTTCTGATTATTTTATTACATAATATTATTAGTAATATTTTTTGCAGGACAATTTTGCATAAGCAGATAAAACACCTTTCCAAGAAAGGATCCTATAACATAATAATATAAAATAAGATGTTTGAAATAACTCTAATCTCATGAAAGTTTATGGAAACTGGCAACATCGCTTTCATCTTATTGCGATGGTGGCTCCAAATAGTATGCTGAGGAACTAAATTTGTTACCAGTGCAGTGCATTAAAACGGTTTATCTTATATATTAATTTATCTATGGAAAACTCTCGGTGTCTGCTGTCTATAATCCCCACGCGGCCGGTCCGTTGCCCAGGCAACAGACTGACGTCATTATGACATCTTATTTTCGTCATACCCGACGTCATTTATCCTCTGAAAAATAACGTGATGATGACGGTAAAATGACGTGAATATGTCAGAGCCCAAATGACGTCATATTTAGACGTCCTTTTCACGTCTAAAAACTCACTCCATAAAACTAACTCTGTGACATAATCAGGTATCTGTTCGGTAATATGTTTTAGTAAACAAAAAGCCACTTCCTGATCGTGGGATAATGGGCGTGGTGCCCAGCAGTTCCTTTTACCCAAGGGTAACAAAAACCTTTTGCTTGTTTGCCTGAATGAATCCCAAGGTTGTATACCCAAAGTTGTCTTTTGTAAAATATAATATTTGTCGGGATCCGAGGAAGTGGCAAGGTTTTCTCTAAGTCAAATGTTAGACTCAAAAAAATAATTGTTGGCTGCAAACTCCATATCTTTCTTCATTTTACTCTGTGCTTCTTGCCACAAACGAATGTGCTCATTATGTTCTATTTCTATTTTTTTTTTCATCATTGCTTTCTGCACTGTCTTTTTTACTTGAAACGTATCACACCTATTACATGTGTCTTTCTTAAGAGTTTTAAATTTCAGGTTGAATTTTTCACAAATAATCCTTTTATACTTTGAAAAACTTACAACGCCTGTTTTTCTACCATCAACTGGTATATTTTTGTGAGTGTCATCTTTGGGGGTAAAAATTCTGATTCGGTCTCATTTCTTCTATAATGTGATTTGTATTTAAGAAATCTCTTTATATCTCATTCCACCCGCTCTGCGTACCCTGCTTGTCTGTAATACTATTTTCTTGCTACATGTTGACTAGTGCAGTGTTAACACATTTTGTCGATACTGCTACCGTTTTCGTAAACATATCACGACATATTACAATTTTGTTTAGGGTATACTCTCTAACATATTGTTTTTGCTTCGATCACTACGCTTCCTTTTTATACTGGATTCTTTTACATAAGCGGCTATAAACAAATTCTGTGCTAGATAACACCCAAGTTCAGAGAACTTTTTAAACTCTGTTCGACATTGCTCTTACGATATTTTTGTGGCACATGATAACTTACACCGGCAAATCAAATGGCACAACTTTTTGTTTTTTGTAGTTACATATTCTTATCGTATCTGTTAACTTTCCTTTCCTTCCTCGACATATAACCAAACTTCCTTTTTCTGCCCTTTTTTGGCCTCCCGTGAGGTTTAATACTCTAATTTTCTTCCGTATCTATTGATGATTATACGCGTTTAGGCAATACTTGGTGTACTCTTTTTTGTTCTGTTGCCATCTCACCACTTTTGTCCAAATTTGTTGTAGTTCTGTTTTTAAATACAATACTTCTTATTAACATTGATTCAACACGTGATTTTTAGGAATGTAATTTTTGAGTTATCGGAATACATTTTTTTGTTACAAAGAGAATGACAATAATAATAGTTGCTTACCTTTTGAGTTGAAGATAATAATTCACTTTGGGTCAAAGTCTGGGTCTGTAATCGAATCGTCTGAGAGGTTGTTTATTTTCTCAATATCAGGATCACGGTACTCTGATTCTGGTCAGAAAAATGTTCCTTGTCAGTGGACTCGGTGGTTGACAAGCTTGTAGAAGCTGATTCGCTCTCTAAAAAATATGAAGACTTATTTTATAAAATACTAATTCAGCGAAATTTTTAGGATTATAATCCGTATTCAGAATGACAAAAGAAAATAATACGCCCCTGACATAAATTCGGCATTATTCCTAGCGATATTATTGACCGCGTTCCGTGAACGCGCCTTCGTGTTGAATGCGTCCTTCTGATGAACGCGGCCATTATCAGCTGAGAAGCCATGTCGGTTATTTACGTTTAAAAACAATAAAATTATTATATATAAATCTATTATGTACCTACCTTTACTTTTAACGATTGTAAGTTAATACAACTTTCAACCATGTTTTTAGTACGTTGTAAAATCATGTTTCTTGTATTTTTTCCTGTCACAAGAACCACAAAAAGGAACCAAGTGCTTAGTGTGATAGAAAATAAAATAAACGCATTCTGCAAAAAAGAACTAGGTCACATGGTTCTTTTTTGTGAAACAGCTTAGAACTATAGTATGTTTCGCGATGGTTTTTTTCATCAATAAGAATAAGTAGGTTCCTTTTTACAAAATGTAATATGTATATTTAGGCACCTTTTGATGCATATAGTCCCATCTTCGGAATTTTGTCGCTTGGTTCCTTTTTGGATATCTACGTTCATTTATTTTCACTTAATTTATATATATTTTTTTTTAGTCTTATTGGTTTTGGGGTATTTTCATGTTATCCTTTGGATTGTCGATAATATGGGTCCTCGTTTTTGAAAGTCCCATGATGGCAATAGAAAAAATAATATTTTCCAGTTAGGAAATGGACGAAACTAAGCTGCTATGCTATAAAAAGGCAAATTAATACCGAACTACGTCGGAATACGAAGAGGAGAAATCGAAAATAAAACTACTTATATGTAATTCAATAGTTAAAAAATTCTGTTTCTAATTTTAGGTAAAAAGATTTTAACAAAATTGTAATAATTGATGAAAAAACATATCAAATAATCACAAATAATAACAAGTAATATATTTATTTCAATTATATACAAGCTACCAAATATACTTAAGCATTTTCTTTGTTAGAACTATTCCCATTTTCAGGTTTGGTCAAAGCTATTTCTTCGACATTTTGTACAGTATGGTTTTTTCCAAAACACTTCTTAAATTCTTCCCCAAATGTTTTACCAAAAGGCGATTTAATTCTTTTGCTCAATCTAAATGCGTAAATTGTAAATTCGAAGATAGATAAAACTAAAGCAACTCCGGTTCCCAAAAATGTAATAAAGAGTAATCCTTCGATATGGAATGCTGTTTTGTCTTCTATAATTAAAGCATCTTCATCCTAAAATAAACAATTAATAATAATAGTTTAATAGAACAAAATATATAAAAAATAAATAGAAAACAACAACTTTAAATAAAAATCCCTTCGTCAAAGAATACAAGAAAAACAACTCAAACAGATTGGTCACGTACTAAGAGTGCCAAATAAAAGGCTAAAAAACAAGTAACGAAAAATTAAATTGTAAATAAATAGAAACGAATAGATAGAGTGAGTAAAGCGACGAAGAAGTGGAAAACTAGTAAAAGAGAAAAGACGAAAAAGGAAATGACAAAAATAAAAAAAGAAACAAAAAACAAGAAATGGAAACTCTTACACTACTACTTTAACTCATTTAAATAAGGATTATAGTTGGTTTACTCTTCGACAATTAAACATATTATAAAACATTTTTATATTATGCCTGTCAAACGGTTAACCAATCAGATAATGGCGAGATCTAAAGTTGTCCAAAGATGGATAAATGTTGATGTTAAAACATAATTTTTAAAGGGTCTCCTATAAACTAACACCTGTGGCAAAATTTTTAGAACGATGTCCATATTGAGGACCAATTTTTAGTGTAATCTGTTTAAGTCGACGAAGTTCACATAATTATTGAAGACCGCGAAATGGGAAAAAATACACATTTATAAACAGTCTTGAAATAAGGCCAATAACTATAAAGGTACCCAATGCGTAGCAAATGTTCTCTTGGGCTTTATTTATATACAGGGTGTTATTGAAATACACGTACATATTAAAACTGGGTATTGCGCAGATCCCCACTGAATGTAGAAAAATATTATTTTTTAAAAATACCCCTTATTAAGGGAGTTATTAATTTTTAAAAATTAATTCTAAAACAAACGTACTTCACTGATATGTTGAGGATGACCTATATAAATTAGGTTTATTTACCTATTTTAAACATCAACAGTAATTGATATGCAAGTTTTTGTCAGATGATAAGAAAACTAGTCTTGTAAGAAATAACCGTGTTGCCAAGATTTTCGAATTAATTTCTATTTCCGAAGACTGGTTTTTACTACCCTCGTTATCAAAAAACTAGAATATTTGATAAATGATTGTTTTTAAACTATACATTTTTGAAACTATAGATTATTAAAATTTTAGTTGATTTACGAATCTGGCTAACACGAGCGCGTCATTTCCAAGTTGGTAAAAAGTGTTGTTACGATTACTTTTAAATATTTTTTTACGATGCCACTATTTACGAATATTGAACTAACGGATATAGTGCTGGTTTATGGGGCAGCTGGAGAAAATTCTCGGCAAGCACAAATCCTGTATCGCGAACGGTTTCCAAATCGGAGAATTCCGGACTGTCGTACGTTTATTTCAACTGTTCAGCATCTAAGAGACCATGGAAAATTTGAGAGTGTCAATGCAGATCGAGGGAGAACAAGAACACAAAGAACATTGGCGGCCGAAGAAGAAATATTGGAAGCTGTTGAAAACCGGCCTCAATTAAGTTGTAGAAGACTAGGTCTTGAAATTGGAGTGTCCTCATTTGTTGTGTGGCGGACACTTAAAGAACAAGGTTTACATCCTTATCACATCCAAAAAGTCCAGGCCTTATATCCAGGTGATGAAGAAAAGAGAGTGGAGTTTTGTGAATGGATGATTCAAAAATGTGTTGATATTCCTGATTTTCTAAAAATATTATTGTATACTGACGAGGCTTCATTCACTCGTGATGGCGTGTTCAATATGCACAATATGCATATTTGGAGTGATGAAAATCCTCACGCCATTAGGGAAACTGGGCATCAAAGAAAATTTTCAATAAATGTTTGGGCTGGCATAATAGATCAGTATTTAATCGGGCCTTATGTTCTCCCGAACAGATTAAATGGGCCAGGATATCTCCACTTTTTAGAAGATATTTTGCCAGTACTCCTAGAAGAGATACCGTTACAATTAAGGCAACGGATGTGGTACCTACTAGATGGCGCTCCTCCTCACTTTGATTTAAACGTACGGCAGTTTTTGAACATTAGATTTCCTCAAAAGTGGATAGGCAGAAATGGACCTACTAAGTGGCCTCCGAGATCTCCGGACTTAAATCCATGCGATTTCTTTTTGTAGGGTCACATGAAACAACTGGTTTATAATGAACCTATTAATAGTGTTGAACAATTAACCAATAAAGTTAATGCGGTAGCCGAGGAACTACGACAAAATCCAAGACTAATTTCTAATGTTCAAAGTTCTTTGGAAAGACGATTGCAAGTGTGTGTAAATAATAATGGACGGCATTTTGAACAATTACTGTAATAAACTTTATTTTGAATTAATTGGTTTTGCTACGGCAACAGTGCAATTTCTATGGGTAAGTTCAATTTCGATTTATTTTACTTCTTTAAATATGGAAACTAGTAGGTCGGAAAAGGGGACTCTTCCCCAATATTTAAATTTTAGAATTTGAAGTTAAAATTGGTGCCAATCGTTTTTGGTCATTACATACTATTCCCCATTTTAATATGTACGTGTATTTCAATAACACCCTGTATAAAAAAAACAGGAACCTAATTCCAACTTAAATGGGACTGACAGTACTGACACCTACAATAAAATAAATAAAGCAAACCCATATGTCACACAAAAAACGAGCGATCTTTTCCCTTTGAAAACTACTTCTTTGGCCACTACCGCAACAGGTATTAAATTATATACAAAGGATAGACAGCAGAGATAGTTTACTTTGTACACTTTACTTACAATTGTGCTTACTAAGAAGAACATCGTTTTTGGACCTGTTTCGTCCTTATTAGGGCTTATTAGCAAAAAATGGATATGTTCAAAATTCCAGTTCCTAATGGAATTAACAAAGACTAAATTAACTAGTATACAATATCGTTGGTTACGAAGAGAACAAATAGTCAATTAGTCAAATCGTGGAAATCGAAGGTCGCTTCTAGAAAACTAGGTGGATCTAAAAGCCAAGCAGGCAATTTATGATAATATATCTGACTACGGCGCACATAGGGGTATTTGAATTATCTACGCGGCCAAAAGTCCATTTTACAAAATGCTAAATTTTTAAATAAAAACGACTACCTGGGTTAGGGGACTAGTTAGAGCACATTATCCATCCCCTCCCGTTTACTTTCAGGGCACCTAGATTTACTGTAATATAATTTTTATCATTTTTAAGATTGTCTTAGTGTATTGAAAGTTACAAGTAATATAGCATATTTTTGACCGATGATTTTAATTCAATAAAGTTATACGATAAAGGTATATCCTGTTATAATTCTTATTACATACGAAAGGTTAGAGCTCCGAGTAGTAAGTAATCAAAAAATTAGCCGTGAAAAACCGCGGATAAGTACTTTTTTCTACAAGCGTGCGAGAAGATGATCTTCTCGCACTCTTTCGAGTGCAAGAAGTTTATCTTCTCGCACGCAGAGAAATATAAAATATAAATTAAAAAAAAAGCAATATATTTTCGCCCATGCCCGGGTTTGAACCTAAGATCTTTGCGTTACGAGCCCGAAACACGTGCTAGAAGCACTTTTACGCACTCACGCATTTTCGTGCGTAAAAGTGCATCTTCTAGCACTTGTTGCGATAACTACTATTTCAGCAATTTGCATTTTTTTTGTCGAAAACATCTATTACTTATTATTAGGAGAAAAATCAAAATATAGTAGCTTTTTACAAAAAGAAGGTGAATTATGGATTTTTAATTGACTATTATTTAGCAAATAAGCTGAATTTTTTAAAATTATTTATTTAAAGTTTTTACTTTAGTGCTCTTATTTTCTATATGTAAACTTTTAAAATTATCGCTAAAAGAGTGATTTTCAGCCAAAATATGATTGTCAAATGTAAAGTTATTATTATTATTATTATTATTATTATTATGATGTTCAGATGACCCCTCGGATGACGCTTTCTGCCCGTTTGACCAATATACATATTTTGACATCCAAAATTTAATTTTTATACAATTAATTTTGCCTTTAGTTCTTATATGGTTCCCAAGTGTTTTGCACAATAAAATAGGTATAATGAAAATAAAAATAAAAATTAATACATTTGCGAAACATATTTTTACTGTAAACCAGTCTTTGAGTAATAATTTTTAGTATTACATATAGAAAATAGGGCATAGTCTACAAACACTTGAAATGAATATAGATTTTAGATTATCTGCTAATGATCCATTAGAAATCAATAATTCACCTTTACCTAATTCTTTTAACAGATTCTTAGTATTCTGTGTGATAATCCCATTAATGGTATAACCTTAGATTAAAGAGACCGAAGATGTAACATTGCACACTGCGCATGCAGTCTATTTTAAGCCAAAGTAACCCACCAATTGAAAATCATTGTTGCACGACGCCACCCGAATTGCTCCGATTTCCATTCAGCGATCACACCTCCACCTGAGTTTAATCACCATTGACAGCTGTTTTTTGATTTATTTGTTGGTATTTTAGCAATTTAAAGTGTTCTAGTTATTCAATTTCAAGTTCAAAATGTCACGATGTATCTTGAAAAATTGTATGTACTTATAATACAAGTACTACTGTTATGAATATATTCGTTTTCAGCGGTAAATATTTATTAACGTTTTGACATAAAGCGCCATGATTCTCTGGGCTGAATACTTCAGATCCGCATTAAGGGGTTTCAATAAATATTAAGCATCAGATTTCATATTACTTACATAAATTTACAAAAGGGTAAAATTTTGAACATTTAATTTAAATAAATAGTAAATAGGCATTATTGCTAACGAAATTTTGTATTTAAAAAGTAGTTTTATAAGAATGTTTTCTAAAGGTAGTTTTTAGCCCTTTTTGGTAGATAAATAAGAGGTAAAGAATCATAGTTGCTAGCTAAATTTTATTTTTATAAGGTATTTTTATAAGAATATTAGATGAAATACAGGATGACCTACTTAAAATTTCAAGGTTCATCTTATTTGCGGTCAAATCGAAAGTGACATTGAATTTTCAGTCTTAAAACAAAGTAATCTAGTATAAACAAAAAAAAAATACTAAAGTTACAGGAGTTAGGTCCGATTCCACCGTTGTGTTAAACGGAGATTAAAATGACAGTGTTAATGTAAAAATGTCATTTTAAACTTCGTTTAACACAACGGTGGAATCAACCCTTAGTCACGTTAATAAAATGTTACATTACAAACCCCTAAACAACTCGAACATAATTTTCGTGTACTAAAAAAAATCCAAAATTTAGCAATATTTATTTATTATACAAGCGAATGCGATTTCAAAGATAACTGGATCAAAAAATCCGAATCTCGAAATTTTGGAGCTAAATGCTCAGATAAAAGCAAGCGACCGATAGGGGTTACAAAAATAATCGATTTATCGATAATTCTGATATTTTTTTAATGAAAATCGATTTATCCGCTGTTTTTAATAAATTATTTTCGTTTTTTTTTAAGATAATGTATTAATCGATTTTAAAGGAAATACAGAAAAAGTACATTTATTCAAAATTATCGATTTATCGTTTAATCGGTTTTTTAATTATTTGATTATTTTCGATTTTTCAAAGATATTATATGAAAATAATCGATTGAATATAATCGGTTATTTTACATAATCGATATTTTGGTTATTTTTTTAAAATTATCGATTTATTGGATAATCAGCTTTTTAATAATCAATTATTTTCGATAATCGAATAATCAATTTCAAAGGAAATATGAAAAAAGGATTATTAGAAAATAATAGATAATTCGTTTTATTTTTAGGAAAATCGATTTATCATAGAATCGGCTTCTTAATTAATTGGTTATTTTCGATTAGGCGATTATTTTGGAATTATTGATTATTTTTGGTATTTCAAAGATAACCGAATTATCGATTTTAAAGGAAATACAATAAAAATAGATTATTGATAATAATCGATTGATCGAAAATAATCGATTATTTAAAATAATCGATCATTCTGTTTTTTTTTGAAAATCGATTTGTCAGTTAATCGACTTTTTAATTAATCGAATATTTTTGAAATACAATAAAATAGATTATTGGTAATAATCGATTTATCATAGAATCGGCTTCTTAATTAATTGATTATTTTCGATTAGGCGATTATTTTGGAATTATCGATTATTTTCGCTATTTCAAAGATAATCGAATTAACGATTTTAAAGGAAATACAATAAAAATAGATTATTGATAATAATCGATTGATCGAAAATAATCAATTATTTAAAATAATCGATCATTCTGTTTTTTTTTTAAATCGATTTATCAGTTAATCGACTTTTTAATTAATTGATTATTTTTGATTAATCGATTATTTTCGATTTTTCAAAGATTATCGAATAATCTGTTTCCATGGACGAAAAAAAAATGGTTTATTTGAAAATAATCGATTATTTAAAATAAACGATAATTCTATTTATATTATATTTTGTCAACACTGATTTATCGGTTAATTGGCTTTTTAATTAATCGATTATTTTTGATTTTTCAAAGATAATCAAGTGGTCGATTTTAAAGGAAATTACAAAAAATATATTGTTTGAAAATAATCTATTGATCGAAAATAATCGATTATTTTCAATTATCGATAATTTATTTCGATAATCACTCATTTAAATTTTAAAATGTTATCTGGTTTCAGACATATGCATTTCTAGAGTTTTATGTGACTCATCCTTTATAATAAATAATATTCTTAAAGAAAGAAGCCTTAATATACTTTTTCTGAGGATACAATACAAAACAGCATTTTCTCATTTTGACTAATTTTTAATAATATGTAATAGCCGTAGAAAAAATATAATGTTCAACTCATAAGGGTAGATTTGCAGTATTAGCCTGCGCACATGCTATTTTTATAATACTCGTAGACAATGAGTAACATTTTTTGCTCTATTAACAATATATTCTATTTCAACATTTTACTGTAATCTCTTGCAGAAAAGTCCGTAGTAAATAAACGCTAACGAAATATTCTATAAAAGGTCTTCTCTTTACATAAAATGTCGTGGCATCTGTTTGATATTAAAAAATCACGATAATTTGATTTCATAATACAAAATTCGATTAAACACCTTTTAAATAAACCTAATAGTTCATTAAGTTGCTAATAAACAAAGTCCGGTCCCTGTCACAGAGTTCGAGTCGCCGCGTGTCGCCGCCCATTTCCCCCACTCCGTTAACCCTTCTTTAGAAATTGGCAACATTTGCGCAGGTTTAAAACCGGTGTATGTTATATCTCTGGTCTCTTTTATCTAAGGGTATAACATAACATTGTCATTATCCACTTATTTACTTTAACCATTATTGTTAAAATTTAGATGAATATAATGATCAATTTGAAATCAATAATTCACCTTTACTTAAGTAAAGATTAAAAGATTAATCTTTTAAGTGGTTTTCTTAGTATTATGTGAGATAATTCCAATAATGGTAACACATTCTTACTCACAGTAATTTAATCCCATTAATTGCTTTGACCCCTATTGTTAATTTTTGGTTTTTCTCCTAGTTATGATTATGGATTTTAATAAAGTAACAAACAATAATCTAAAAGTTATGATTGATGTTAAATACATTTTTAAAGAATTTATTTTTGTTTAGGTTTACAAAGTACCTCGGATGTAAGAATTGTGACCCGTAAATATTTGTTCTGTCGCATGCAGAATCTGATCTGCCTAGTTTGGAACAAAAACCAGATTTCTTAAAAGAACAACTTTTGTCGTGCAAAGGATACACCGAAACCAAAATATGTGTTTGAAATGCAGTTACGTACCCTTTAAGTCTCAAGTGAAAGAAAGGTGGTTGAAAGCACATAAAAAGGAAGACGTATTTTACAAATACAATGATACATATCTAAACGGAACTTTTAAAATTCTCGTGGTTACACTAAATCGGCCAGGCCGGCCACGTTAGTCATTTGGAGAGTCAAGTAATCAAACTAAAAGGAGGAAAACTGGAGAGATTCGATCTACTTCTTGCCTTTCCTGTTCCTCTTCTTTCACTTTCCTGCCCCTTTCTTTTTTCTCCTCTGCTTCCTTCCTACGCCTTTCCGTTTCCTCTTCTTTCCTTTCTAGATTTTTCTTGACGAGAACTGACATTTTTCGAATGTTTTACTTTTGACGACCGCAGCACGCTACAGGGTGCTGCGTAGCACTAAGATTATTATACGATATTCGATTATAAAAGGATTCGTAAATTCTATTTACGTCATAATACGTAAATAACCGCTGTAATACATGATAACAACGACATATCGAGCGTTTTCATTGGTTTATATTTCAGATAAATTCAAAATTATACCATTCAATATTATAAGTGAACTGCCCTTAGGCATATTAATTTTAATCAAAGACATATAGAACAAAATAATAAACATATTTGAGTGCACTTGCTTATTATAACATATTCTCTTGTGTTATAATATATCAGCACCTCAGAAGTTAAGGTGAGTAAAGTTACCAAATCTACATTTCTCAGAAGAAGAATTTTAAAGTTTACTTATTGTTTTAACAAATGTAAAGAAACCGGGCATTTAATAAATATTAGGGTTTTTGCAAAAGTCAATTGTTTGGTCAATTTATTTCGTTTTTGTTTTTGTTACAATTTTTTACTGTGTCCTAAAATTTAGACTTTGATGAGAAACAATTATTAAGCCCCTTCTTCTTTTGGCGAAATAATGCAACTAGGGAGTTAAATCTGTTTTCCACTAGATAGAATTTAATAAAGAAAACTCTTTTCTCTACTTAACACACCTTACCTCTGAGGTGCTGATATACTAATTTATGGAGGGGATTGGTAACCTGAAATTCGAATCTAAGGGTTTTGTGTTCAAGTCCCAACAGGGCTCGGAATTTTTCTAACAAACTTAATTACTTAAAAATTAACGCATACACAGAACACATATTAATAAAGAAAAATAAAGACTGAACTGTTTTAATTGAATAGGTACTACCAAAGCCATAATACACACAAACAAAATAATACTTTATTTACAATACTTACGATACACATATCTCCAGCATATTTTTCTTCCCACCAAATCTTTTTAAGTCTCATAAGTTCTCCAGATGCTTGTAATTTTGTTATAGCTTTGTTTAAGATTCCTAGATATGGTGTTCCTGCAAAACAAAATTATATATTTTTTTAAGTTTTTGTGAACTTTTCTGTGGCTTGATTTTAAACCTGTTAATGTTTATTATTAGCAAATAAGGTACCTAGATTTATTTGGTTAGTGAAAAACATATTTTAAAGATATTTAAAACAGTTCGAGATTAAGATGATTATTTCGCGCACCTCTATCAGGAAAACGTTTTTTAATTCCATATTTATAAACCGTACCTCATCAAAATTCTTGTCTGAATGCGCCCTTGAACGAAAATCGAAGATAAATTCAAAAGAATTATGACATTTATACTTGTCTACTACGATGTTTTTAAATCTGTTTAGAAACTCCGTTATTATACTCTTTACACAGTAGTCTGTAAAGTAGTTTTATGAATTTGGTTCCGTTAGTCCGTCCGATGTCACGAAAAACGATATCAATTTAAAAATTTCAGAAAAAAGGTCTATAAGGGGACGAAGCCTGTTGATTTTAAAAAAAATCTAAATAAAAATGGGTGTTAAAAATGATATCAACATAAAATTTTTAGCAAAAATCAAGCTCTACAAGAGGGTTTCACAAAAGATATAATAAAAAAGTGAGGGTTAACTCGGAATGAAATAAAAAAAAATCATAAATCAAAAACGAAAAGATATCAACCTGAAATTTTTAATAAAACTCAAGCTCTATAAGAAGATGAAGCCTCTTGATTCTGAAAAATCTGAATAAAAATGAGGGGGTTGAGGGAGGTTAAAATAATAAAAAAAAAACGAAAAATTATATAAACTTTAAATTTTTAAAAAAATCAGGCTCTATAAGAGGAATAAGCCTTTGATTTTGAAAAAAAAAATAACTCAAAAACGTAAATACCATCTTAAAATTTAAAGCCAAAATCAAGCTCTATAAGGGGACAAAGTCTATTTATTTAAAAAAAAATGTGAACCAAATGGAGGGTTAAGGACAGTTTATAAAAAAAAATGAAATCAAACACTGTAAAAAATAAAAACGAAAATAAATCAAACTCAAATGTGGTAGACTTAAAATAAAATGAATAAATCTCAAAGCCAATATTACATAATTACGAGCGACCGTTTCCCTTCAGAAAACAACTACTCCTTTAACTATTACCGCAGCAGGTATTAAATTATATCCCAAGGAAAAACAGCAGAGTTTGTAATTAAATTTTAACATTCTACCTTTGATTTTGCTCACTAAGGAGAACATCATTCTTGGACCGGTTTCGTCCTTATTAGGACTTTTCAGCAAGAAATATATATGTTCTCAATTCCAGTCTCTAATGGAATTAACAAATGCTACACATTTCACCAGTATACAATAAAGTTAGTTACAAAGAGAATAATAATTCAAGTAGTGAAATGGTGTCGCCATCTGTTCCTAGTAAGCAAAATCAAAGGGCGCTGTAGTACCCAGTTAGAAAACTAGGTGGAACCAAAAAGACCAGGCGGGCAATTTGTACAAACGAAAATTAATCAAACTCAAATGTGATAGACTTGAAATAAAATGAATAAATCTCAAATTTTCCTTTTTTTTTCAGCAATGTGGTTTTTTCTTCTAGGTTGATGAAACTCATGTAACTACTTTCTAAGTGGTCACTAAGAGGGCCCGCAGTTATCTTAACGATTTATCTTAACGATTTATCTTAACGATTTATCGTATTTTATCCTGAAGATCTCTTGTAAAGTTTGCCGACAGTGCCTTAAAGAACTCTATGTCCTGTCTTAATCCTATTTCTGAGTTTTTTTAATTTCCATTAACTAATGGATGCCTTGTACAATGCCTCAGCTTGCTCAGATCTGGCGCCTGTTATAGTCTAATCAGTCCTTATTTGATTTCTGGTAAAAGAATTGTCTTGGCTATTAGAGGAGATGGCAGTAGTTTGGCTGATTTATTTTTTTCTTAAATAATATTTTGTTAACTATTCTCAGGTCGGCATTTGGATCGAAAACTTTTTAAAACTTGTATGTGGTTATGGGTATGTCAATAAGCATTTTACGAATGGTCAACTCTATTGTTAGTTTATTGAATATTGTCTCTGCATTAGCCTTTGAATGACGGACCTGTTTCTCATTGTATAAAGATGTGCAATAGCGTGAGGTTTAATAATACCTCCATTGCTGATGATAAGGACTTCAAAGACACTATAATTTGGAGCATACCAAATCGAAGAAAGAGAAGGAGACACAACATTAATTTGAAGCAATGATAAATGAAATATGTCGATAAATATTTACCTTTTCTTACTGCAATACCAAATCCTTTACTATCTAAAAGTCCTCCATAGCTAGTCATGTTACAATGTCTCCTTATCGTATATTCTATGGTTGCAGATTCCATGAAAAATGCATAGTTTCCGTTTAAAGCTTTTTCTATTCCGTCTAATGTGTTGTCAACCATTTGATCTGGATGTTCTTTCATGTAAGTAGCTACTTCTTGATAAATTTCTGATTTGGAATTCTAAAACACAAAAATTGCTTACATAGTTTTCTTTGATATAAAACATATGTTATAATCCAATTGGGTTGTAAGGGAAAATATTTTTAATAACACACAGAGTGTCTCATTAGGACTGGGACACAGAACAACTAAAGATTATCTGACTAGTCTCCGACATACAGAGAGTAACAGTTAAAAATTCAAAACTGATTAATGGCTATAATTTTAGTAAATTCGATAAACATTTTTTTATGTCATAAATTACCTTATTTTTGATTAATATCTATAATTAAACGAAGGTAAATTATTCAGTTATTTAATAGCCAACAATGTATTATTAAAAAACTTTAATATCAATAAGTATTGTTAATTCTATTAAATTTGTTTAGTGATATTCATTAAACTCTTTAGTACGTTCCAGTAATTGTTTAATAATCCTCAGTAAATATTAACAGTTTTATCCCTTTTACCCGTCGAGGACTCGAGGAAACTAGTATTCGTGCGAAATCAAAGGTCCAATCACGATGACTACGTCACACGCCACTAACCTAACTACATTCATTTTCTTTTGATTTGTGTTAATAAAAAGATGTCTTAATTGTTGCATGGTTGGATTGTGATACCTGAACCGGTTGTGTGGTGGTAGTGCGGTGTGTGTTTTATGTACATTTTACTAAGCTCAGAATGGATTATGATACACAATTTAATTACACATTTTGTTGTAGTAATGTAAGAAAAAATAGCCCATGAATTGACGAATTAATATTTTGTACACCATTTAGGTCCATTTCATATGTGACTGGACTCGTATATGTTTTGTTTTTATTTTTTTTTATTCTCTAGGGACGCAATAAATTGTTCAAAAGTATTTACATTTTTTAAATTTTTTTCACCTGTCCTATATATTCTTATTTTTAAAACATTGTGCTGAAATAATTTACTTAGATAAATTTGTTTTGTGTTTTCTAAGGTTTTTGCAAATGTCTCTAATATGAAATATATCTGTATGCAAATGTTTAGCAGTACCCCAGTTTTAAAGTTTATTATATAAAGCTTTATTGTGTATAATCCTCTAAAACAGCTTTTTAAAATTTGAACAGTTTATTATCTAAAGAAATGGTAACAAATCGTTAAAAAAATAAAGTTTTTGTGATGTTTTTCCATAAAAACTGAATAAAATGTTTGAAAAGTAGCTCTAGAGTAGCACAGATTTAATCTATGCAACGTATTTACTTTAAGAGTGGGGTATACTATCAAAAGTTTGCATATTTCCTATTGTAGTTAAATAAGAGGCAATTGTCAATTTATTTGGGGTGAAGGGGGTTTGGTCGACCTCTATAAACTCATTTAATAACCACAATTAAAGTGGTTTAATAGGGAGTATTAAAACTTGCAAATACCCATCATCAAAACCATTTAATAACAGTTATTAATTTATTAATATTTATCAACATAACGCTATTAGGCTGTTTAGTACCCATCATTACGCTATTTAATAATGACTAATAAAGTATTTAGTTTTTCTATTAAACTGTATATTACCTGTTATTAAATTATTTACTAACGGTAAGCATAGTTTTTTATTAGTTGCTTGTGACAGCAGAAGTGATCCAAGAACAAAAGTTTAATAGCTGTTATTAATCAGTTTATCTGTCTCATATAGTATTAAAAAATTTAATACCCACTAGCAAAGTTTTTTCCCGGTGTAGTAATAACTAAATTCACCTTGTCACGTCAAGTGTTAGCGGCGATGTCAACTGTCAACACTATCCAAGCCCCAGTCTTGGTTATGTAATGAACATGAATAAACGTATTTTACAATTTTCTTATTATTTATTATTAAATTTCAAATATAGTTGAATACAAATTATAACAGAGTACAGCATGGATAAGTAACACCTTCATCCTCCCTAAATTTTACGCCACTCTTTAAAAACTTATTTAGACTAAACTTTTACATGTTTTAATGTTTTGTTTACAGAAAATACGTACTCTTGTTGAAAACTCATAAAGTGATTGGTTTCCGAGATATTTACATACACACAGGTGTGTATTCTTAATTTAATTTATTTTGTATCGTACGGCTTGGAAAAGTAACACCTTTATCTTTTCTAAATTTTACGCCACTATCCAAATACTTATTTGCTGTTAATATAAATTTTTGATGTTTTTTTAAAAAATCATTTACTCAGCAAACAGGTTCAGTTAGAATCGTTAAATTTAATGGTAATAAATACTAGGTTTGGAAATTTAGTGTTCTGATTGCACTGAAATCACAAGATCTAATTGATGTAGTTAGCGGAAAAGAAACAAAAATAGAAGTAAAGCCTGAAAATACTGATGAGTTAAGAAAATGAGAGAAAAAGAGAAAGAAAAAGAAGAAGAAAAAGAAGAAGAAAAAGAAGAAGAAAAAGAAGAAGAAAAAGAAGAAGAAAAAGAAGAAGAAAAAGAAGAAGAAGAAAAAGAAGAAGAAAAAGAAGAAGAAAAAGAAGAAGAAAAATAAGAAGAAAAAGAAGAAGAAGAATTCTTAAATTAAATGGGATTTGACTTCTCAAATGTGGTCATCTTCAATGAGTTAAATTAAACACAAAATCTAGTACCACATAAATAATGTACCTCACTTTGAGTTTACTTACTTTAAAGAATTCTTCAGTAGCACCATTTTTTAATGCTCCAAATTTGATGCCCATGCTTTCAGCGTTCTTTAGAAGACCTTCTACATCGTCGAATAATTCCTCTTTTTCTTCAGTAGCCGTTTGAGCGAAGGAGTATGAAATGTACATTGCGAAAAGTATGAAACAGTAAATATACCAAGCTCCTGCAATAATCTTTGCTGCTATGGAACTAAAAGAATAAAAGATAATATTTATTTTTAACTTTTTATGAAATTGTTTTTAAATAGTGAATTTCTGTCACGTATGGATTTGGCTTGGTAATAATATACAGGGTGGGCCACTTAAAAGTTCCACACCCCCCTTATCTTCGTTATTCATTGAGATATCGAAATAATTTTTTTCTTGTTTAAAAGACTAGAACAAATACTTTCTTACGATAGATTCAATTATTCTGTGACGTTATGACAGAAAATCGTAATTTATTTTTTATTTTTAAATTGAAACCCACTTTTTTTATTGTAAATTTGGATTTCTGGGACATTTTTGTATAATAATCGTGTATTGAAAATTTTCTGACAGCTTTCAAAATGGCCGCCATATTGGATAATATTTGTTCTAAACATTTTACTATTAATTCGTTTATGAAAAAAAATATAGGAATATATGATCTTTATAAAATCTTTGTTATCTTCACAATTCCCATTGAGACCCATTTACCGTATACCAGTGGCGTATCTAAGCATTTTTAATATTAGCAAACCGTTTTATATTTCAAACCGCTATTATCTTCGTTGTTAATTGAGACATCGGAATTAAAACATTTTTGTTTAAAAGCTAATAACAGATACTTTCATATACTGGATCCAATTGGTCTGTGACGTCATGGCTTACTTTGGACTTTTCCGGATATAACTTAAAATCGCAATTTATTTTTTAATTTAAAATCGAAACCTTTTTTTTGTTGAAAAGTTGAATTACTGGGATAATAAGAAGCGTATATTAAAATTTTACTGTCACCTGTCAAAATGTCCGTCATATTGGATAATATTTTTTCTAAACATGTTACTATTAATTCGTTTATGGAAAAAAATATGGGAATGTATGATCTTTATAAAATCATTGTTAGCTTCAAAATTCCTATTAAGACCCACTTACAGTATACCAGTGGCGTATCTAAGCATTTTTATTATTAGCAAACCGTTTAATAATTCCATCCGCTTCTATCTTCGTTGTAAATTGAAATATTGGAACGAAAACTTTTTTGTTTTAAAGCTTGGAACAAATACTATCATATACTGGATTCAATTGGCCTGTGACGTGTGTTGAAAATTTTCTGTCAGCTGTCAAAATGACCGTTATATTGGATAATATATTTTTTAATATGTTACTGTTTATAGAAAAAAATATGGGCATTTATAACATTTTTGTGAGGTTAAAAATTTTCATTAAGACCAATTTACATTGTACCAGTGGCGTATCTAAGATATTTGTTATTGCAATCCGTTTAATAATTTAACCCGCTCTTATATTCCTTATTGATTAAGATATCGGAATGACAACTTTTTTGTTTAAAAGCTTGGAATAAATAATGTCGAATACTGCTTCAACTGATCCGTGACATCATGGCTTACTTCCGGTTTTTCGAAAATAACAGTAAATCGCAATTTATTTTTATTTTTAAATCTAAACCCACTTTTTTTATTGAAAATTTAAATTTCTTGAACTTATCAATGTTTATTATTGTATGGTTGGTATTGTTTTATTATATTGATTCCTTAAATCTTTCTGATGAAATTAAGCTACTTTAAAATTTAAAATAAACTTTTTACGCACTAGTGCGTCAACAAGATACAACTTTTAGTATTTTGACATGACAAATGACATTTTATTTCAATCTTTCTTTACGCGTTAGTGCGTAAAGTAACCTTTGTATTTTTAATCTTAGTGGGCAATATGTACGGTAGTCGAAATATCGTATTCATTTCGTATGTAAAGGCCTTTTTTGAAGGCCACTTTATACATTTATTATAAGCATAAATAACTATTTTTTGTTATTTTATTTATCAGTAGATAGTTGACTGATGTAGTGGTTACAAGCGCTGAAATCGTATGAATTCAGTTCGATGACAGATATGCTTAAGAAATATGAATGTTCAATAAAAAAGTGGGTTTCCATTTAAAAATAAAAAATTAATTGCGATTTACTGTAATTTTCGAAAAACCGGAAATAAGCCATGACATCACAGACTAGTTAAATCAATTATTTGACAATATTTATTCCAAGCTTTCAAACAAAGAATTTTCATTCCGATATCTCAATTAATAAGGAAGATAAGAGCGGGTGGAATTATTAAACGGTTTGCTAATATTAAAAATACTTAGATACACCACTGGTATACGGTAAATGGGTCTCAATGGGAATTTTAAAGATATCAAAGATTTTATAAAGATCATACATTTCTATATTTTTTCCATAAACGAATTAATAGTAACATGCTTAGAAACAATATTATCCAATATGGCGGCCATTTTGACAGCTGCCAGAAAATTTTTAATACACGATTATTATACAAAAAAGTCCCAGAAATTCAAATTTAGAATAAAAAAGTGGGTTTCAATTTAAAAATAAAAAATAAATTGCGATATTCTGTTATTTCTGGAAAAACCGGAAGTAAGCCATGACGTCACAGAATAATTGAATCAATCATAAGAAAGTATTTGTTCCAGTCTTTCCACCAAAAAAAAACGTTATTTAGATACCTCAATAGATAACAAAGATAAGGGGGTGGAACTTTTAAGTGGCCCACCCTATATGGATATACATTATAATTTTATAAAAAGAACACCTCTTGAATATTTTAGAACAAAGCATTTTTTGTTAGTTTGCATTGCACTTAGCAATAATTTAGCCAAGTAGCAATTTGTATTTATTACAATCTTACAGTAAAAACAATACAATAAACAACCGGAGTTGCTGTGATGACAATTGTAAAAATACTAGCAAAAAAAAAACAGTGTAAATTATAAAAATTTTCAGTAGCAAAGTGGAAATTAAATCAAAGAAATATCTTTATTTTTGTAATAATAACAGTAATACTGGAAATAGTAGACATCAGAAACTAGAAAGGTTTTAAATAAACAATAAATATCATTTCACGATGTTCTTCAACATCCTTTTAATCCTAAATATTCATGCAGTAAGAACTAGATTTTTGCCTTTGATTATTGTTTGTGGCTATAATGCAATTTTGTGACTTACTGATAGAAAAGCAGTTTTGATCATTAATTCTATGTTTCCTTTCGAACAAAATTGAAAATATATATAACAATTCTTCTGTTTATACATTTTAACTTCACTCTAATTATTTATAGATATTTTTTTATTTTGACAGAATAGGTTAAATATTCAAAGACAACTTATTAGACTTCTCATACATTTTCCCGTAAATACTGTTGCCTGCCTTTATTTTATTATTGATTTTAATTGAATATACTTAATCTTTTTTAGTTTAAGCTATAAAAATAAATAATAATAATAAAATAATAATAATAATAATAATAATAATAATAATAATAATAATAATAATAATAATAATAATAATAATAATAATAATAATAATAATAATAATAATAATAATAATAATAATAATAATAATAATAATAATAATAATAATAATAATAATAATTAATAATAATAATAATAATAATAATAATAATAATAATAATAATAATAATAATAATAAAACATAGTGAGATATGCACAGAAAGCAGTCATTTTGCAAACCTGCCACATCGTTCGCAGGTTCTTAAACGGTACCTAAGTGGGTTAAACTGAATGGTTTCCCTGCTAGGTTGTCCGAGCTCATACATTTTGTATAGCGAAAAATTATACCAGCATGTGCTGAGATCACGAAAATAATAATAATAATAATAATAATAATAATAATATACCATAGAACAACATACCAGCTGCAAAAAACAACAGTATTAGGAACAGCACATATATTAAGAAAAGTAGTAACATAGTTGTAACAGAAGAGTCTCTACCTGAGGAAACAGGCAGTTTCTTGGAAGAAGACGAAATATACCCGAAAAACAACGAAATCGGAGAAGAAAGAAAAATAATAATAATAATAATAATAATAATAATAATAATAATAATAATAATAATAATAATAATAATAATAGATAGATAGAATGTTTATTGACAACTTTACATACTTTTTGGTACATTTGAAGTCATGTCATCAAGTGTGAGAAAACAATAATATATGTCAATAGTATAAAATTACAATAAAATATAACACAATAATAAAAGTTACATTAAAAATACAACATTACAAATACAAAAATTTAACATTAATAACTACACAAAATATGTAAAATACATTGATAAAATTTAAAAACAGCAAAAAAGTAAATGCAATTAAAAAGATAAATGCAATTAAAAAGATAAAAGAGCAAAGAAAAAGAACAAATAACAGATAATGTATACATATATTATTTTAATTCGTTTAAAAAATCTTGAATACTATAGAAACAGTAATTTAATAAAAAGGTTTTCGTAATGTTTTTAAATTGATTGTGCGTCATGGTGTCAAAATTTAAATGCATAAAATATTTTCTAAAACAGTTATACAATGAAATGTCAAGAGTATTGTTCTTAGCCATATTAATCCTATTTCTATTAATTACAAAATCTTTGCAGTTTCTTGTGTCATAATTGTGTATATCTTCATGGCGACTTAAACTATTTATGTTTTTATGTGTTTCAGTCAATGTTTCAAGAATATAAACACAAGGGAGAGGCAGTACTTCGAGTTTTTTAAAGATAGATTGGCAAGGAGTGTTGTTAGGAGCATGATCAATTAATCTCACTGCTGCTTTTTGCAAAGAAAATACTTTATATGCGTAAGTGGAGTTACCCCACAAAAGAACGCCATAAGAGAGGTTACTGTGAAATAGTGCATAGTAAATAGATATTAGTAAATGATCTGGTATACAGTATTTTAATTGTCTAATAACAAATATTTGAGTTGCCAATTTAGAACACAGATTATTCACATGAGATATCCAGTTTAGGTTTGTATCCAAATGTATGCCTAGTAATTTAACAGGGTCCGATTTTGATGCCCATTTGTCCGAACTGAACAGCAAATGACTAGTTTTTTCATCATTTAGTTGTAATCTATTTGCTGAGAACCAGTCTCTTATCAAGCCAGAATAATAATAATAATAAATTAATGTTTTTCTTGTTATACAAACCCATATACTTTTATTAAAACTAACATATATAGTTTTTAATTACGAATTCTATTAAAAATTGTATTGTCAGAATAGCCAAAAATAGTCCATTAGTACAAAAGTGAATTGGCGCTGCTGTCACGCTCGGAGCGAATAGCTAAATTACAAGCTACATTTTGGTTGTTACAACGTCAAATAATTGCTGACATATTGTTCTTGTGGATATTTTATTTAAAGTATTTAAGCGAAATAATTACGAATTTTTGTTTTGTCAATATTCTCAAGAATAATATATAAAGCTTTTGATATTTTAAATCATTAACATAAATTTTTCAGCCAGGACTCATTTTTCTCTATAGACTTCTCCCACCCTCTCTATTGGCTCAATAAAATAATGCGCATGATTCGAAGACTATTTTATTTCCTCTTTTCTAAAATAAATTAGTGAAATACTACTTACTTTATTTTCACATTTGTGGGTTGTCTAAAAAGCCCAGCAGCTACAAACCATAAGGAGTTCAAAAAGGATAATTCGTTAATCAAATAATTCTTGTCACTTTTGCATGTATGTGGCCTTTGCCATTCTTCTGGAGATAATCTTCCGATCAAAAATAAAGAAACGACCATTATTAAATAGGAAACGCCCAAATATTGCCAGAATGTAAGAGAAAATGGTTGAGCAAAGTGGAAGAACCCTGGAGGGACAGCTACGGGTTTTCGGAACAGAATGCCTATACCTAAAATAAATTTTAAATTTTTTGGTTATGCTTTATAGATTTTTGATCTTTCAGTAGATATAATATGTGTATACAGACCATCCAACTTTCAAAGTAGTTTTTTATTTTTCTGTTTATTTTATTGTTATTCTATTATTGTTTCTGAAACTATAATTTGTTGTACTAAAATTCATTCGCAATGCTTCTGATTAAATGTTCCTTTAATAAAGTGAAAATTATTGCTTATCTTAATTTAATATACACTAGTCCCTTAAAAAGCAGCAATTAAGCGACTTAGCAACCTCAAGTTTTCTCTAGAAAAAGAATGAAAAGATATAGTGCTTGGTATTCCCTATTATACGATTTCTAGTTTAACAATATCCCCTTAACACCTATTTTCAATCAGATTTTTCTTAGAAAGAATATGCCTTATAACCTTATGAAGCTTAATTTTTTAATTTTTGTTTTAGAGTCAATAGGCTTCATCTTCCTATAGAGCTTGATTTTTAATAAAAAGTTTATGTTGATACTGTTTTTCATTTTTGATTTTTTTTAAATTCCAACCCTTTTTGCCTCCCCCATTTTTAATCAGATTTAATTCAAAATCTATAGGCTTTGTTAAACATTTTAAGTAAATATTTATCGCTTTTGAGTTAGGTTTTTTTTAATATTTCAATCCCACTTAACTCCCCATTTTTATTCAGATTTTTTTTAAATCAACAAGCCTCTTATAGAGCTTGATTCTCCTGGAATTGTTAAATTGATGTTGTTTTTCGTGTTTCGTTTTTGACTTATCGTATGTACTAACGGACGGAACCACTCATATACTCTTCACATAGTACTGTGTGAAGAGTATTTAAATGCCAACTTATATTTTATTTTGAACGTTGATAATAACTATGAATGTTACAGGGCTACTAAAAAAATAAGATCAGAATGAATCGAAAAAAATTTAAAAAATATAACACAAAGTAAAAATTTTACGGAAAGAAAATAAATCATTATTAAATCAATTAGATAATAAATATGAACAGGCATGAATTAAAACTAACCAATAGTTTAATGCTAATTGAGCATAATAGCAGAGAAAAACTCTTTTAAATAATTATTTTAGTTTCAAACCTACAGGATATGGATAGGGATATTCAAAATTCTCAAAACCAATACCATGGAATATTTTGAGGTTAAGGAATGGTTTAAGTCGATAGTCTAATCAAGTTCAAAAGCGTGTTTTTGGGACATACTATTACGAAAATTATGTTCAATAGTTAACTTAAAAAAATTATTTTATGTAACGTACTCGGTTTCGACGCCGTGCGCGCAACCTAAAAATGGCGCGCGGAAGGCTACTTTGAGCGTTAAATTAAAATTATAAATAATGGAGGTGCAGTTTCGGGAGTTAAAACTTATTTATAGCAAATTTCCTCCTCTTTAAGGATCTTTTTTTAAAAATCCAAAAATATGTATAGTTTACAAACTATAGGCGAAAAACCGAACACCATGTTTTTGAGGTGTTTATAACTTTTGCAATTTTTTATACACTGTAAAATTATTCTTTACACATTTATCTAGACATTATTCCGAATCGCATGAGCTATTAAACATAATTTTCGTAATAGAATGTCCCAAAAACACGCTTTTGAACTTGTTGGTTAGACTACGAGTTCTTAAGAACTATAATAACGGTGCAACTTTTTTGAGTATCATATAGATTCTAAGTAGAAGCAGTGCGAATGGCCCTAACATTGCATAATACACTATTTTGTTTTTTAAAATTAATTTGTTATGTAAATTAGTTTTTACAATATTCTTACCGCAAGTTATAAAATAGTATAAATGTTAACACGATAAATTAATAATGGTTTAATAAACATTAATGAAACTAGTCTATAAAATTAACAAATTAAATATTTATATAGTGATTCTGTATTGTTACTTTGCATTGCATATACAACTCTTTGGTTACATATACAGGGTGGTCCTTAAGTAATTGTACATAAAAGTATGGTAGATTCCTCTCTTTTAAATATTATGATTTAAACCAACTTGATTTATTAAAATGTTGCAAATTAGGAATATACAGAAAAGCAAAACACCTGGGTGTGGAAAAGTTGTGTATGATCCAAGTAAGTTACTCCTATGACAAAAAAATATTGGACTTCGTTTTCCACCTCCCCAAGGTGGTCGCAGGGGCTGGATAATAAACTCAAATCGTAATATTTTTGGAGAAAACGGATTATCTTCATTTATAGAACCTGTTTAACGATGATACATCTTTAAAATAAAAATTTTAAAATTAATTTAAAAAAAAATAACTCGTCAGACGTCATGAGCCTTTTGTAAATATTACATTTGTAGGTTACTTACTTTATTTTACCATGCAAAACTAATGAAAGTTTTTAAACAATCGTAGAAACATAATTTAACCTTAGCAACATGGTTTTGCCCCCCTTCTCCTCCCCCCAACGTTCGCACCTACCACGCCGGCGCCGCGCGGTCGAACTATTTAGAAGTTTATAAATAGACATTTTTAAACGGCATACTAGTATTACATCCGTTGAGCGAGCGTGCAGTGTGTTATTTGAGTATTACTGTATTTCATGTAAATTAGTCTAAACTGAACAATTTATCAAATGATTAGTGTTGTCCCCGATACGCATGTGGGCGAAGGTAGCTTCGTCGGTAAATAATATTCTGTCGACAAAGGTGTGATCAAGATTTTGCTTGTTTCGGATAACACTTGCAAATTGGTATCTTAACGGTAGATCCGCTGGCAATAAATTTTGTACCGGAGTAAAATGGTATGGGTGATACTTCTCGAGGTGCAGTCTTTTTAAAATAGAAGTTTTACTAAATTCTAAAGCAGTAGATAAACGCCGTGTACTAATTTAAGGACCATCTTTATTGCGCACTATTATTTCGTCATCTTTATCAGGCGTAATTATTATTGGTCGGCCTAAGTTATCACACTTGGAACGAAACGAACCACTTTCGCCTAAATTCCTAAATAGATTTTTAAATATTTGATAATTAGGTTGCTGTCTGTTTGGATATCTTCTCAAATATTCTTGTTTCGCAGCACGCCCATTAAAATTTTGCTGACAGTAAATAGCAACCATAGGTATATCTCATATCTGTATTAGAATTAATTATTATGCCTCGGCATTTTACTGCTTTTTTTAAATTAACCAAAATAAATGAAAACTAAATATTACAAGACTGACATAATATTGAAACAAATCGAATGCTTTGCTGTCAAAATCATTCGTGGTGTCCGCCTACTACGTTAATAGTTCCCAAAATGAATAATTATTACCTTGGGAAGAAATAAATAGATCCACTGATGTTTAATATGAGACGATCTTTTATGGAACGTGTAGATAAATGCATCGACGAGAATGAAGGACATATCGAATATTTAATGTGACACAATTAAAGTTATAATGTTATTTAGCTTAGTTTTTTTTTTTATTTGTTTTTTAAATGTTTTCAATAATAATCATCATCATCATGCAGCTGATCCCTAAAATGCGATTATATCGTAAACCGTTAAGTTTTAAGATTAATAACAAGTATACTATTCTGGCTCCGTCATTTTGGAACCCGACTAATATCAAAATAAAAAAATATTTTTATGAATTAAAACTACAAACGATGATTGTAGTGACTTTTATTTTTTTGTAGTTTTTAGGTTTTTACAAAAAAAAACTAATTAATTATAATTTTAAATTTATTTAATATTATTATTATTATTATTATTATTATTATTATTATTATTATTATTATTATTATTATTATTATTATTATTATTATTATTATTATTATTATTATTATTATTATTATTATTATTATTATTATTATTATTATTATTATTATTATTATTATTATTATTATTATTATTATTATTATTATTATTATTATTATTATTATTATTATTATTATTATTATTATTATTATTATTATTTAAAACTGCTAAATTTGTATTTGGAATCGTTTGTAGTTTTATGTAGTGTAAGAAAAAATTTAAAAAAATAAAAAAAGTTTTATATTGTAAAGTTCCATTAAAAAAATCGAAATTATTAATTTTCACAGCAATTACTGAAAACTACAAACATACAAAATGATTGTAGTACTTTTAAATCGTTTGTAGCAAAAGAAAAAATACGAAAACCAATAAATATTGGCAACAGCGCTCATAATTCGCTTCATTTAGATTACTATTTTGTCATTCCTGTCCATGCACAGGTTCTGGGCGGAATAGCCAATGTAGCCGAGACCAAAATGAACTTTAAAAAAACAGAAGAAGACATACACACACCCAGTTTAACGGATTAGCAATCACAGGGCTATGTGTATGTACTATCAGAGACAATCCAGCGAGACGTGTAACTCAACGTATTTTTTTTGTTCGGTAAAAGTTATTTGGGCGATTGTAACCACAACCAGTCTATGATGGCGCCACTAGTAAATAGCGGGAAAATTAAAAATTCTTTAGGGCGGGAAATTCAAACATGGATTCAGAAATAAATATTTTTTCCATACAAATTTACAGGAGAAACAAAAACTATTGTTTCACTGTATATTAAAAAATATAAAAGCTTCCAATAACATCAAATTTTTTATCATATAAATAATCATTTTAATAAAGGAAGTTTTAATCAGTTTAATATAAGCAGTGAACATAGTTTTTATTACTCTTGTAAATTTCGCTAAAAAAACTTGAAAATTCTATTGATTATTAAATATTTAAACTTGGAAAAATAATACACCAAACTCTTTTTTTTTATAAATTATAAATATAATATACAAAAATTTGTAAGGTACAAAAGAACAAACCGCCTAGTGAGAACATTAGTGACCTAACTCCGAAAATGGCGATCTGAGATAATCGCAGTTGAAGTTTGTACGAAAATCTATTTTTTTGGCTATACGTTTGGAACTATCTTACAGATTTTTTTCTCTCTCTAAATTTTAAATATCTTTCAAGTCGTAATGTAACAAGTTTTTTTTTTCGATTAAATGAATATTAACGATGTTACTTTAGTCCCTTACCTGTCTTTTACACCACCAGGGTATACCTATTTTCCAGATTCCCTTAATTATAGATTACCTTACAATGTTTGAATGAATATAACATTTTACCCATGAAAAATCTAATTTCGTATTTAACTCTTTTTCAATTTCATTTGAAACAATTGGTACATTACAATTTATTATCAAGGAAATCTTCTAATAAAGTTATAGCAAATCCTACTTAAATTACTGGTTGTTCTGCAATATAAATTAACTTTTCTTGAGACTGATAGAGAGATCTAAAATCCAAAACCGACCTGATGTCCCCAAATTTATTTTACAATGCATCCTGATTTAAAATTCTGCCCTTTTGTAATTAAATTTTTTTCTTTCTTTAGAGTGGCTATTAGAGGTAGGTGTATGTAAGAAATAGCCAATCTCTAATCATTTCAAAAGTCCTTTGCCAATACTACATGTGCAGATTTTTTACTCGGCATACATTTTACTTTTCTAGTAGGTAGGAACTTTGTGCTGCCATTAAAGCTGTCCAGACATTCATCTACCTACTTAATGAACAAAATTAGCTGTAACAATGGATCTCTGTTCCAATTCACCTAAAATAATTATAGCCATTTTATAATATATTATTAAAAACACATTATACAGTGGTTTTCTTCTTAATAAATTGGAAATTACCTACCTCTAGAAAGAAATGTGTACAAAAACGTGAGTTTGGTTCCAGAAATTGCTTCATGCAAAAAATAATATGCAAAAATAAACATCTCCCCCCCCCCCCCAAAGAAAATTAATTAAACAACAAAATCAGACTCAAAGAAATAAACGGGGCTGAAATTAAATTAATTTTAATAAAATGCACACGTTCATAACAACATTCATAACATTGTCAGTTGTCAGTTTTAATCGATACGTCGACGTCAAAAAATCAGCAACATCAGCGACCTCTTACATTGGTGTTAGTTTTATTGGATGGAGATAAATATATGTAAAGATCAATTTAAAAAAAAAAGAAAGTCATATATGTAATTTAAATGGACCACCGAACAATTTTTCCTATTAAGTTACACGTCTCTGTTGTCTCTGGTACTATAGACAAAGCACAAAGTAAGTACTGCAAGCAACAGTGTCGTAAAATGTAGGTAATTATTCTTTTATTATTATTATTATTTTTTTTTGTGTCATATTATTGTTATTGTTATTATTACTATTTATATTATGTGAAGATTTTAAAAAGATCGAGCTATCCGATCAAGTTCATTTTTTCGAAGAATCTATGAGTTAGAATTAGCTTTATTCCAACATCTCGCAAAACCGTAATATTACGGTCATCGTCATGCGCAGTAAATAAAAACCATTCGACTTTGGGCTTTATTGATAGATTTTCAGAATCAATAGTAAATGGCTATCAGCTGATGGATTAGGTCCAAATTCATTAATAAAAAATTTAAGTATCAAAGAGACGACTGAAATTAATTATGTCCTAAAATCTTGAGGCAAATTTTTTACTAACCTTCCCTAAAAAACCCTATAGCACGCTATAGTGGTGTAAAACTTTTTTTTTTCGTTCTTTTGTTTTCATTACTTTTATAGTTTTGTTCATTATGATTTTTATAAATATTCTCTTATTATATAAATTTTTTAAAATAAAAATACCTTTCAAAATATGATCAAGTATTATTTGCTATTCTTTTCTATTTTATTATAAAGTATTATTTTACTATTACATAAGCAGTGAAGTTTAATATATCTACAAAAATTTAAAATATGTTTATAATTTTATTGATTGCTCTTTTATTTTTTCAATTTTTTTCTTTCACTACATAAAACTACAAACGATTTAAAAGTACTACGATCATTTTGTATGTTTGTAGTTTTCAGTAATTGCTGTGAAAATTAATAATTTCGATTTTTATAATGGAACTTTACAAAATAATTTTTTTTTTATTTTTTCAATTTTTTTTCTTTTACTGCATAAAACTACAAACGATTTAAAAGTACTACAATCATTTTGTATGTTTGTAGTTTTCAGTAATTGCTGTGAAAATTAATAATTTCGATTTTTATAATGGAACTTTACAATATAAAATATATTTTTTTTTATTTTTTCTTTTATTGCATAAAACTACAAACGATTCCAAATACAAATTTAGCAGTTTTAAATAATAATAATATTAAATAGATTTAAAATTATAATTAACCAGTTTTTTTGTAAAAACCTTAAAACTACAAAAAAATAAAAGTCACTACAATCATGTACATCGTTTGTAGTTTTAATTCATAAAAATATTTTTTAATTTGATATTAGTCGGGTTTCAAAATGACGGAGGCTACTTTTCTTCTATTAAAATCACGTGGCTTTAATATTCTTTTACAAAAATACCGTTAACTTAAACAACAACAAAATTTAGGCCACCTTTATGCCACAAATATAGCCTATGTAGCGCATTCTACAAATTACATCAATGTAGGTACCAGATTATGATTTTTCGTGCCCAAAAACCTCTATTTCCAAATTTTTATGTATACATATCCAAATAGTTAAAATTTTTGCAGAAAAGAAATCTTAAAATTTAACCTTTGGCACCCTGTATATTCCTTATTCGCAACATTTAATTAAAGCAAGTTGATTTAAATCGTAATATTTTAAAGTGTGGAATCTACCATACTTCTATGTACAATTACTTAAAGACCACCCTGTATACAAAGGCGGGAGGAAACAGTCTTTACCAGCTCAAAAGAAAAACAGAAACAAATTAATGAATAGTGTAATATTAACTTCAAGTACATGAAAGTGAAAAAAAAAACATACCTATTACAGTTGGTATCAAAGATATTAGATTTTTTAATTATTAGGTAAATATATGTAACACAAAGTTTATAAAATGAATAAGTGAAATATGGAACAATTAAAGAACAAGCATACATACATATTGAATGAGTTTTAAAAATAGTTAAGCGATAACTTTAAATAATGAACACAACAACTGAGAAACATTAAATATACTGTTGGTTAGTACTGTAATGTGAGCCATCTTATTATTCAATCATGCTTTAATCCTCCAAGTCCCTCTCTGTCTTATTTGGCCTTTGAGGCTCAACTTGTCCGATTATCATACATAATTAAACCCCTTAAGACCAAACATATGTGACGTCTACGGCGGAGGAGCTATCGATTACTATTCGAGAAAGAACGGGATAATGTTTTAGTGTATTCCAAATATAACGTAATAATATTTATAATTTTGGCGAGAACGTTCTGGAGCCCACTAATAATTTAAAATTTGTATATAAATATTGGTGGAGGAACACAGGCAATCATTAGTAGATAGACAGTGGTGAATATAAATAGTGAACGATTCAAAGACATTCGAAATATATATAAATTAGAATAGTATTGTTATAAAATAAATAAGTGTTTAAATAAATTATTAATAAATAAACTGTTGTTTTAAAATATACAAACACCACAGTACCTTACATAAAATAATAATACTTATAAAAATGAATGAATGAAAAACCTTTACCAAAACTTCCACATATCTTGGTTAAAAATATTTATAAATTAATGTAGGTTTAATTGACAAGAGGTGGTGCTGTTGTAAACACGATATATCTATAAGACTGCCTGATAATTAATAATTACGTTAACTAACAACATATTGGTTAACTTCGTACTAAATTTATTTGCTTAATAAATTAAAACTCTATTTAAAATTGTTTGGTGCCAACTATACTACGTCTTTTCATTTTCGTTTGTTAATTAATATGTAATTACTTGCAGTTTACATTGCACTATCACTGCTTGGTTTTTAATTTTCTTCTAGACCTGATGATTGGTATTGATCCAAACTAATTGCCCTACCTAATAAACGTTAATTTTTCATTGTGGTAAAAAGTAGGGTAAAAGGTATATATAGGTATATAGCTATAGGTAGCCACCGTGCATAATATTTAGTTATTTAAAAACTTTCAAATTATTTTAATTATATTCCAACTTACCAACAGTCATGAAAGGGTGTGTAAACTCTACGGGTTCTATTCTTTCCTTGTTAATTGTTAAGTCAGAAATAGCCAAATCAGCTTTCTAAAACAAAGTAGTTACATTTTAAAAAATTTGTCATATTACATATAAAAATATAACTCCGTCAAAATTGTAGAGATTTCACAAACGTTAACGATAGGCGGTAATAGCATAAACATTATTTTCGTAATATTTTGGTCGTTACAATCATGTGATTATTTTTAGTTTTCACGCATTGCAGAAATAACAGAAAAATCCAATACTTTAAATCTATAAATATTGTAACAAAAAAGAAATTTAAAATAACCTCGTGTTTTTTCTTGTAATAAATTTATAAACTACTTCACTTTATTTGATTAAACAAATTTTCAGAAAAACAAAACAAGGAATTTATAAACAGCATTAGTGTTAACAACAACGAGACTATTTACTAATTAGGACATTAATAAGACCTTTACAACTAATTAATACAATTAGCGTCCTATTTTAAATATTTATTGCGTGAATAGCTGTCGAGTTAACGTTGACGATATAAGGCCTCGCGTTATCAGTACATTGGAGAAGATTCCACAAAAATCGCAAATATTATACATACAGTGAGTCCGGAATTGGTGATGCATGTATTGCGATCTCCGAGACTGTCAGAGATAGAAAAACGGTTAAATGGGCAAAGTTTTATAATTCAATGGCGTTTAGTTTGAGATTTTTTCTCTTTTGGTTTTTGAGATATTTTGAAAAATCTAAAATGACACATTTCCGAAAATACCCTGTATTTTCTTTATTTAAGAAAATTTCTAAAATCAGTAAAAACTTTCTTGGAGAAACTTTTTACGTAGAAATCGCCTGTGTCGTCAGATTTTATTTGCAACTTTTCGGTTTCTTGGAACTATCATCAACTTTGTTCTTTCATATGGGCGCCATATTGGATTTTTACTGTTTTGAAAAGCCCCTTTTTTAACGTCCTAACGATGTATCACACTTAGTAAAAAAAAGTTAGGTTATGGGTTAAAAAACCAAAAATTATAATTTTGTTTCCAATTTGGAAACACTAACACTTAAGGAGATCCTAGTACATTTAATCTCTAAACTGCAATTAATACCAAAATATCCTCATAATAGTTTATGTTTATGATAGTATCACACTCTTACAATGTAACAAAAAATAACGTCAAAAAAACCATAACTTTTTAATGAAAAATACGTTAATAAAGTCAAATTATTGTTTTTTAGAACACCCAATATGACCCAAAAATCATTTAATTATTTGGAATAACCAAAAACTCAGTAAAAAATTTGATGTACTCAATACATTTTCTCGCAATACATTAATACCCTAGTAGGCTTTGGATTTAAGACAAATAAGGAATTATAAATCTTTCACAACTGTGAACGTTTTTTTTTTTTTTATTTAAAAGCATTTTGTTTTTGCTCGAGCCTAGTGTGCAGAATCGCAGAAAATTTCTCGAACGAAGATAAGTTTGATATGTTAGTATCTTACATTAAAAATGGAAGTAATGCGGATAGAGCCGCCAACAATTATTTGGAAGATTATCCGGATAGAGAACAGCCCCATAAAAGGTATTTCTCTACACTGGTAATGAATTTACTTGAATTCAGAGCTTTTGGAAAACCTCGGCCTAAGAATTATTAAAAGGATAATGAGAATCGCAACAGAAATATTCAAGAATATTTTCATGAAAATCCTACGTCCTCTACAAGGATTGCTGGCAGAGATTGAGATATTGCTAAGTCAACAGTTCATGACGTCTTAAAAAAAAAAACAACATTATCGTCCGTATAAACCCACCATTGTACAAGGACTTCGAGAAGGTAACTTTAACAGAAGAGTAACTTTTTGTAATTGGTACCAGGGCAAATATCAAGAGAATTTGAACTTTTAAAACAACATTGTGTGAACAGATGAAACTTATGTCACAAATTGCGTAATATTTAATAAGCACAATCGCCATTACTGGGCTACCGAAAACCCTCAGTTGTGGGAACAGCGTAGATTGCAAGTTCGATTTGGCTTTAATGATTGGTGGGAAATGTATGGTAATATATTTTATACTTTGTTTTGCAAAATATTTATCGTCTCCCTTTTATCCTTTAAATTATTTTAATATTCCTGCCGTAAGAAGAAATTATTTTATTTTATTAGGAAACCGACTAATTGGGCCCTTTATTTATGATCACACATTGACTGGACAAAGGTACCTTGCAATGTTGCAAAATAGAATAGTCCCAGCAATTAGGGAAGTTTTTCCAGATAACGAGTATGGTTTCAACATGACGGCTGCCCCGCCCATAATTCCAGGGAAGTACAAACTTTTTTATCTGAGACATTTGGTGAAACAATATCCAATAGTGTCCCGGTGCGGTGGCCTGCGAGGTCTCCAGACCTCACCACATTAGACTTTTACTTGTGGGGAAATGTTAAAGATGAAATTTATGAATTTGATCACCCAGAAAGCAGAGAAGTCCTCGAGCAGCGTACGCGGGATGTTCTGTCGAATGTTAACCGTATCACAATTCATCGTGTTACCAGATCCGTGACAAATAAATGTCAGAAATGTATAGAAGCAAATGGGTCACATTTTCAACTTTAGATTAGCCATTTTATTTTAATTATTATGCTAGTTGACAAATGAATGTTTTTTCCTTTCTTTCTTGTGTTAAAATTGTCACATAGGGGAAACTATTATAAGAATATTTTGTTATTAATTGTAGTTTAGAGATTAAATGTAATAGGATCTCCTTAAGTGTTAGTGTTTTATAGGGCGACGTTGCCAAATTAAAAACAAAATCATAATTTTTGGTTTTGTAATCCATAACCTAACTTTTTTTACTAAGTGTGATACATCGTTAGGAAGGTAAAAAAGTGGCTTTTTAAAACAGTAAAAATCCAATATGGCGCCCGTATGAAAAAAAAAGTTGATGATGGTTCCAAGAAACCGAAACGTTGCAAATCAAATCTGACGACACAGGCATTTTCTATATAAAAAGTTGCTATAAGAAAGTTTTTACAGATTTTACAAATTTTCATAAATAAAGAAAATACAGAGTATTTTCGTAAATGCGTCGTTTTAGTTTTTCGGACACAGTGTATATAGTTTTTAATTTTATTTATGTGACTTTTTTTTGATAAATTTTTAAACTTTGTCTTTAGTTATAACACTTATTACATTGATTTCCTATTAATATTAATTTCATTATAAGAGCTAGTGGCCAGAATGTAATAATTGTCATTATTAGTAGTAAAATATATAAAAATACACAAAAATTTTAAAAATTATTAACTCTTTTAACTAAATATTCAAATAAAAAACACACGCATTGAAATAAACCAAACAATTAGGTTATTTCTTCAGTCAATGGATTACATTGAACTAAAGAATTATCCGAGGGTATACCACGTAACATAGATTGTCGATGGTTGTCGAAGGGCCGCTGCATGAAACTCTGACCATTAGGCCTCTCCAGTATTTAATGTGTAATGAAAGATTTTGTGCAACGATTTCTGTGCCAGAGGTAATTGTCTTTAATTATTTTAACATATTGTTTTAAAAGTGTTGTTTGTTTTTGTTTTGAGACCAGTCATTTATTTTCCTTTGAATGTCACGTTTTATATTTTTCAACCTTACTTTGATTTCTAAATATTATTTATATACTAATATAGTTATTAACAAGGACCGGAAAAAATACAGTTTGCCTTTTTTGTTTTTTTTTACAAAGTAAGGAATGTTGTCTAATTACAAATTTTCCACACATTTGGCCAAAAAACAAACAATTTAACTGTGACTAGATTTGTACAGAATTCACCAACTTATTTTTATCAGATCTTGTACCTTCTAGTAAATTTATACTTTTATTATCGGACTCTGCCCCTTACTTGATTAAAGTGGTACAAAATTTAAAAAAAAAATTAAGAACCTTATCCATGTAACGTGTGTCTCACAGTATTAATAGAGTTGTAGAATGTATTAGATCTCAGTTTTCAATCGTTAATAATTTAATAAGTAACAATAAAAAAGTTTTTCTTAAATCTCCATTAAAAATCCAATTTTATAAAGAAAATTTTCCAGATATTCCGCTACCGCCAAAAGCAATAATAACCCGGTGGGGCACATGGCTTGATGCAGCTTTATTTTATGCGGAACACTACCAATTAATAAAAAAAGTAACTCTTGATTTAACAGATTCTTCTTCAGATGCTCTTTCAGAGTCTAAAGAGTTATTTAAAAATGTACTTCCACATCAACTTTTTTATATAAAATCAAATTATTTCTTTGTGTCACAAGTCCTTGTGCAATTACAAAATACATCTGTATCTTTAATTGAAGCTGTTAAATTAATAGATAATGCTGAGAAAGCATTTAAAAAAGTTCAAGAAAAAATAGCAAAAATTATTTTAAATAAATATTTCGCTGTGCTATGAAAAAAAATGAGGATTTTCCAATTTTAAAAAAGTTTTGAAACTATTGTCGGGAGACTTTGAATCAAACACGGGAATTAATTTAAATATTTTGCCCCATTTGAATTATGCCTCTATTATATCTGTAGATGTAGAACAAAGCTTTCCGATGTATAAACATATGTACACGAATAAAAGACAAAACTTTCTTGTCGAAAATTTAAAAAAATGTCTAGTTGTCAATGCTTTTAACAATTTCAATAAATATAGAATATGTATTTGTTAATATACTATGTTCTTATGCATGATAGTTGATAGTGTTTAGATAAATATTATGTAATTTTAGGTGCCTATTCAAGATAATGGTAAATAAAGTAGGTACTTAAAAACTAACTATTGTTTTATTTAAATGTGATTATTATTATCCAACATCACACAAATATAAAGTGAGGATAATTAATTAATATTATTAATGTTGCATTTTTACATTGCATTTTTCGTAAATATACTTTTGCATATTTTTCGCAAATAAATTACATTAAAATGCGCTTTTTTTTAATATTTTTGGTGTATTTTTTGCGGTCCTTAATTATTAATAAGTTCAAGGTATATAATTCAGTAGAAAGTTTATAATGTCATAATGTTACGT